AGAAAATATCAGGTCCCTTCCAGCAATGTCGCGAAGTAATTGAAAATTAAAAAAGGAAAAGGACAGATAAATACGCGCGGTCCGTAACGCAATCGAGTCGCAGGGAGAGACGTCTGGACTCGAGAGGGTCTGGGGGAGGTGGAACGAACCACGCGCGTTTCCTAATTATACCAGCATTTCAAAATCTCCCCAGCCGATGAACCAATATGCTTTTCTGGCTTGCAACATTCCCTGTTGCTCCCTCTCTCCCTCTGGCCCCGTCGTCCCCCCTGTATCAACGGTGATCTTTCCTTCTTGCTTCTCGTTATTCTACGCGCGGGAGCAGTTCACCGTATGCGAGCGCAAGGCGCGATTGGCCAACACCGAACCGACACGACTCACACGAGTTTCTTGGTCTGGTTCGTTCTCCGTGCTTTTATCGAGGCGCGCGCGAACGACTGCCTGTTCTACCGCGCGCCGGTGTCTCTTTTCCACCGGTTAAGCTCGATTCCCAGTGGCCGCTGATCATGGGACGCGTCTTGGACCAGTCATCGAGGCTTGACGCTCTCGTCGAACGCATAGTGCCCATCGATATCGAATTATTTTAAATGAATTTGCGAACCTAGCCATGTTTTCAACATTAAAGCAGGATAGAAGAAGCTATTCGAATTGAATGAAACTTGGGACCAGTATCGCTGGACCCAGAATTATCTTATCCTAAGTAACTGATTGACCGCCATTCTGGTCATTATCATATCATTGTTATAAAGAATCCTTGAACTTATCCACGTTTCGAACATCGAAGCAAGATACAACGAGCTTATCACATTGGAGCTATAGTCGATCTAGATGACAAAAGTCTAAATCAATATCCTTAGGCTCAGAAAGATTGTATCCTTGGTAACAGGTTGACCGCCATTGTGGTCATCCGAGACCGTTATCGGATCTTTTCAGTAGCGCTCTGATGATGGCTGATGACCGGAGATACTAAGTTCTTTTAAGATGCACAACAAATAACTACGTAACAATGCAAAACAAGTATTCCAATTAACTCGAGTGATGACAGCCAACGTGTTAAGGGATCTAAACAATATTAATCTTTCGGACGGCGGTGTCAGGGTCCATTTGGACCCAGGATCTCGGAAACTTCACGTACCAATCCAGCTTACAGTAGTTTAATCCTTTAACTGGTAAGGGTGACTATAGTGGCCCACTTATTTTCTTGCTTCTAAAGCTACAGGTATAAGATTCGTCATTTATAAGAAGACCAGCATATCTTGAAGAAAATTGTTCCGAAACATAAATTCAATTAGCTAGCTAAATTCAAAAGCAATTCCTCTGATTCTACTTCAATCTTTTCCACCTAACAATCAGATAAAGGTACGTGAGTTAATATTCCCACGTTTTAATAAGCGCCTCTTTAGCTACAGTTTACTTCTTTTACTACTCATAACAATTTTATCCAAAAAAGGGGACTCTTTCGGAACTAGGTCAAAAAAAAATTTTTAAATGTAACAACCAATCCTAGTCTTCCTTATTCCCTGATCGATCTTTAGTTTCCTCGATTGCCTTCGAGAGCCTAGCTCGTGCATCGTGTATCGCGCGAATAGTCACGTTTGGCTGCGACGGCGAACACGCCTAGCGAATTGTTCGACGTGGCGTGGCTCTCGGCGTGGTCTGGCGTGCCGCGATCCGTTCGTTCCACGAATCCATTCTTGACCGCTGCAGCGTTATACGGGGTGACGACTAGGGTAAATGACCCATTTACTGTCACCTACCGAATTACTGTCATCCCAGACTGTTTTATTTAAAATAACAAATAAACGTTGTGAAGTTAAAGATAAAGAAAATTCTGCATGCACTTAAAACTGTTATTCATACAATAGAAAGAGCAGTACTACTTAATTTCCTTCCTCCATTAATTTTTGTAAAACGATCAAAAATATTTAGTTTATTGGAAGAGTAAAAACGACGACTTCCTTACTAGCGATGTAAACTACTACTGTACTGCGGGTGAAAGTAATAACTTTCGGAATATATTTTTGAAACTAATGAATTTATAAACAAAAATAAAGGTTCAGAAGGCTACAACAAATTTTTCCTTCAATGGAACATTAAATAATAATAAATACAAATAAAAACTTATGGTTTTGATTGGTTAATACAAACATTATGCAACAATGTCAGTGTCATTTTTTAAAGTGTCAGTAATTGGGTCTTTTACCCTAGCGCCGTCGCTTTCGGGGCAGAGACGTCGGAGGACCTTCTTCTTCGCGGCGCGTATGGAAGCCTCTCCTTGTGTGCTATACTTGAACTCCGGATGTTGGGGCGAGTTCACACGAAACATGGAAATCAGACTGATATTTACATTTACCAGGAGCTTATCTTCCATAATCTTTTGATTCGTTCAACTTCTGGTCGTTTCGAGGCATAATTGTATTGTAAATATATTCTTTCGCCTTTTTGTCGAGCATTTGCTCCAATATCCATTTTATAAGCTGTTGCGGGGGATTCAGTTGCCATTACATTTGACTACCTATTAGCAGAATTTTAAATTTCAGTGCTCATAGATAAGACGCCTATTAATTTATCCTTAGATCAGGGATATTGAAGAAATTTGAAGGCTCCACGATACTGAACATTAAATATTTTATAAGTTAATGGCCAGATGCGGCTGAAACAAATTTGATTGGCTTCAGAGTTCGAAGCTCTAGCATTGTGCTAATCATTCATTAAAAAAATTAGCGTTATCCCTGAGGACCTCTCCTTGTCAGGACCAAGAAGCCTTCGTACACTCATCGAGGATTTACTACAATTCCTAGGCTGTTAATCGTTGGATCTACTAACCTATTAAACCGCAGCAGGTAGGTAATATATAGACTGCGGATATTTATGCAAATTTGCAATTTTAAATATTATTTTATACGCACGAAAATTAGTTAGAAATTTCTTCCTACCAGATGTCTTATTGTGTTGATAATAATAAGCGAATATCATTGAATTTCATTAAAGTCTTTATTTTACTGTATTTTTCATGTTAACATCCGCAGTCTAATAATGTATTAACACTAATTTTGATATCAACCAAGCCTGACCATACATGATGGAATATTTCTAATCGATCTACAAGATCTTCCTGTACCAGGGACTACGTGAAACGAATAAAGAACCGAAATGTACAAAGGCGGGTGTATAAAAAACGTCTAAAAACAAGGAATCACGAATAGAAATGAATTTCAAATAGAAACACCCTCAGGGTCTGTTTCGAAGGCAGAGAATAAGACATGTGTCTATCGAGCGATAAACATCGCGAGAAGCTAAATCTGGGAGTCCAATCCGATGAAGTCATTCCCCGGTAAATGGTAACCTTTCGAACCGCTAATTGCGATAAATAATCGAATGAAAATAAAACCAGAAAATAGAACGGAATTCATTTGAACGTAGGAGGGCTTTAAACACATTGTACGTGTCCGTTACGAGTGAAGGGGAAGTTAATTTATGTAGGTGTGGAAGTACTTCTTTTCCCCCCGAGACACCTCCTCCTCCAACTTCCATATACACTCGATGGCGCAAAAGAATTACAGGCGAATATGGAAATGGAAAACGAATACGAACTGGTTTTGCTCTTGTAACCGGCGTGTACCCTCTCTCACTCGCTCGAAGAATGCTGCAGACGTTCGCGTGGGCGTACCATATCGTTAACAGTCACGTCAAATTAGCAGCTAGTTTCTCACCTCGCTACACACCCCCTATTTCGCGCTTTTTCAACGGCACCTTCTCGGTTCCGATCGAACATCGAACCCCGTTCACTACAACGAAGCAAACGCACGTGTTAAAATCAATTTTCGTTCATCTGAATTTGCATATCAAGACGCTGGAACTGGAAGCCCGTTTTGTTTTGTCAGAAACTGAATGTGAAGCATTTTTGCGCTAAAGACTCGTAGCAACTACTATCGTAAACGTAAGTTGTATAATTTGAAGAATTCAATATGTGAAATATTTCTGTTTTTATGGAACAACATTTGAAAGTCACAGATGTACACCCACGAGGAAACTCGGTTTCCATTAGGGGAAAAAGTGAGGTAGGTGGAGGGCCTCCTACCATATTTAGTTTTGGCAGTTACTGAAATTTATGCCAAATTAACATTTGGTTTAATATTTATTTCAGTACTTGAAATAAATATGAAAACTTAACTTTGTATAAACATCTGTAATCTAGCAATCATTTGTCGCTACTTTGTTTCTTGTATTATTTGTCCCAATATTCGGAACGGAAATTATAATTTTTAATTGTATTGGGTAAAGTAGTGTGAATAAAATAACAATTTGCATATAATTTCACAGTCTATTGAAGTAGTCTAGTCACCCTGCGTACCTCGTGAATATAAATTCGAATTTGTAAAAAAAATGCATGATACAGTTTAAAAAAAAAACAAGTTTGATTTTTATATGTACTCACAAAAAAATCTCATCAACTTTTTGCACTCAAAATGGCACCCCCGTTGCACCATTTGTAACACTTTACGTGGGACGCCCTGTATAGGTACGTACTTTAGTAGTTAATAAATATTATTATTAAAATACGTTCTGGCCTTTTAATTCCAAGTTACCGCGAAAAATTTCGATAATCATGAGTGGCCCTAATTCATTGGCCAAGGACTGTATACTTTCAGAAATAAAAAAGTACACGATACTGATACTTTCTTTCGTAATTTAGAATACAGCAGCCATATGGCAACCGTGGGAACGAAAGGGTTAATACAGACTCCTCTCGATTATCGTCTAGCTTGTTCTACGCGATTATTGTCCAAGCGTCATCCCCACCACTTTGTTGTCGACGCTCAGTCTTCGGTCAAAAAACGAATTTACGAGGATCTGAAGCATTTCTCTCTACAAGATTATTGTCCCGGGCGGGGACCCGTTGTCGGGACGATAATCGAGAGGAGTCTGTACTCTGTATATCGCGTGTCTACACCCTGTTTCCCCCTGTTCGATGAAATGGGGACTGTTTGTGGTCTCACCTTGCTTCGTCTGCGAAGACAAACTTCCTGAGCTTCAGGTCCCGTAGTACAACACCGTACTCGTGGCACGTTGCTACGGCCCTGGCCGCCTGCCGGAAGAGCCGCCTCGCCTCCGGTTCCCGCAGCCTTCTCCGCGCCCTTACGTAGGCGTGCAGGTCACCGTGGTGGCCCTCCAGCAAGAGGTATCGTCGACCTCCAGGTGTCTCCACCACGCCCGCGACTCCACTCGCCGCGCCGGTGCCTTCTAATCGAAGGTGAGCTTGCAACAGCGCCTCACAACCTTTGTCGCCCACGGTCAACGCCTGAAATTCAGGAAAACCGTTGCGTCACCAAGAAAAAACGCCGTTTTCTACGACCGGAGGAGTTCCGGGCTGAAATTTGGAAATACATTTGAGGGGGGGGAGGGGTGTTTGTGGTTCATGCCGCGAGGTATGTATCCGTTTGCTCTTTGGAGCCTGTCGATCGATGGGAATCGATAACTTTCCCACGATCGCGGGGTCGTATTAAAAAATTGAGCAGCTTCGAAATTTTGTATTTTGTTCAGATGGAATTGAAAGTAAATGTTCCTCGATTCTGGGAAATATAAAAAACGGGTTGAGATCGGTAATCAAATTCAAAGTCGAATTAAAAGACGCAGAAGCTAATTCAAGTAATATTGTACATTACAGATATTTATTTGGCGGATGACTGTTGTGTTTGTGAGCAGTTTTCTTTCATTTTTGTTGTGAAAGCGATAGAAAAGTGTCATTTTAATATTAGGGTCATTCCGCGGACAGTTTTTGGAGTCACATTTCGGATTTTTGTTTAAACTTGGATATATAGTCTTTAGGGATATATAAACGTAATTGGAAGAATTTTCAAGAATTTTAAATTTTATACAACTGTACAATTAACAATTTAAAAAATTTGGAAAAATCCCTCGAGATATTTAATTGTGATCGAGATATTAAAATTGTGTTTTTTACTAACAAAAACAACTGCTTAAGTAGTTTTTCGTAATACTAATTTGTTTAATCAATTATTGTTCAATATTTAAACCTCCTAGTAGTTAGTATCTACCTTAGTTAAACCTTCTGCGTTTTTGCGCAATTTACAATCTTTGCGTTCTCTTCTACAGTCTTTGTCTCCAAGCTTCAAACAGTTCCAAAATATTATCTTAAAATGTTGAAAAATTTCGATCCTCGTAATAAATTTTACATTTTTGGGACAGCTAATCAGCCGTACAAACAGTTTCAGGGCTCCTTAAATTTCATTCCACGTCTCAAGACATCCCAAGCACGGTTCGAGTCCCATCATTGACCCTAATAACTCGTACCCTTTCGTACACAGCTCCGTAGCACCGATCCCCGCCACGGCTGGCCTGATACGCAAATTTCTCCTCCTTAATTTTCACATTCAAATGGGTAGCCGGCTGCGAAGTATACTCGTGAAACTAGTTCCTGCACACAAGATCCCCCATTAAGGAGCGAATCACGTGAACGTTCTCAATAACGCGGACAATATCTGCCATTGTGCTAGATAATTGTACGTTAGCATTGACCGGTTAATACGGATATCCGCAGCAGCGAGCGGGACAATACAAATATCCGGATCCCTGGGCCCGTCTGCTCTCTTCGACATTTCGTCTCTATTCGGTACCTACATAACGCTAATCTTCTGCTTTCGTTTCGATTTATAACGATTTTCTCTTGCAACATTCCGTTCGCGTATTGTTCCAAGCATACTGTTATCTGTACTGATAAATTCGGTCGAGTAACGAGAAGCGCTTAACTGTTGCAAAATGTGCCTCCAATAGCCGTTCGAACATCGTTATCGGTTATCGAGGGATGTCGTGAACGATTAGTTGATGATCACCATCCGGGGGGATTTCGTTGGGGGACGAGTGATACGGATATTTCGATCGAAAACGAAGAAAATAGATACGATAGTTGTACTATGTATATTGCTTTATTGTTCATTAGGGATGGTAGTGACATAGTACCTACAGGTGAAAGTAAAATCATTTCTGATTTATTATGATTTATCTATCACATAAACTTAGATTTTTATTTCTATTAACAGGGTAAAGGCCATTATGTAAAAAAACTTAGTAAAGTGCTAAGAGAGTTAATCATCTTCTCTGAATACTTTCGTGTATCGACTGACGAGAAGAATTGATCTAATTACAATATACATATAATATATGTCTTTTAAAAATAAAGGTGTAGTTACATTTTGCACGACTACACTTATAAAAAGAGTATACGTAAGACTTGTAAAAAATCAATTTTGTTATATTATTCTCCCTTATCTTCTAGTTTACACCAGAATCACATGTTCAGCACGATAAACAAGAATCGATCGTTAAATCTTGGAAAGAGATTCCTGTAGCGAGAGAGTAATTCCATGGTAATTACGATCGAAGTTCAAGACTCCCGCCGCCAACTGTGCGTCCGGTTACGGAACGCTCGTGGAACGGTGTTGGTATTTCCAAGCAACAGGTTTAATTGATCTAATTAGAAATCGAACCCCGTTGATCGATCGAATACCATCGGAGTATAGAGTCGCGAAACGCGTTGACGAGTTTATCCCACCTGTACAAAAAGGTAATTAATCGGTCTTCCGAAGACTCGAGATTCCATCTCGCAGAACCGATTAGGAAACACAAAAATAGGCATTCCAGAAATCCCGATTGATCGATGTTTCCTGCAAATTATCGACGACGTTTTGTCGACCAACGAACAATGAGGGGATTTAAACGAGAGACTTAAGGAAGTCGATAAAATAAGAATCGACGTGGTTCGTATAACCGCTAGAATACCGCGTGAAGGTGTCGAAAAGTTGGAATTAACAAGTTAATTATTCTAATAGGGCCGGCTATAGTAGTTTTATATTTCATAAACTAATAGCTCTATAGAGCTGAAACAAATAGCACTGGCTTCGAAATTCCAAGCTCGATCATTGTGCTAAACCTAATTAAAAAGTCAACGGTACACCTGAAGGCCTCTCCTTGTTAGTGCCGAGGAGCTTTCGAACACTTATCAAGGATTTACTGTAATTCTTTCTCATATGGGCCGCGTGTAACCAAATGAATACAATCTATATAATTACTGTCTAAGAACGGATTAAAAAATGTAACATTATGTTTTACATATTTCTTATATTACTCTATGGGAATTTAAGAATCGTTAATAAAAAAAACAGACAGTGGCTAAAAGCAATATAATTTGTTTTACATGATCGCACTTAACCTGTTTAATTCTCATGTAATTCGGTGTATATCGACGGAAGACGACGACTGGTGTCACCGTAAGCCCGGTTTACAAAACCACTCGATAAGGGGCCGCACGAAATCTCGGCTACTTTTGAAACTTTGTTCGTCCGGCCGTTCATCTCGCGTGTCGAAACCTGACACGATTTCGAAACACGGGCCCCCCATTAGTTTAATAAGGGCACAGTGCGTTCTTTACGAAATCAAGCCCGATACCGATCGATCATTACGGTTCAAAAGTTTGATCATCTTTCTGGACAAGAACAAACATTCCTTGTGACGATTGTTCCCGCCTTTCTTTGGAAATTCAATCACTTGTACCCATTTGACTGTTTCATAAAAACTGTAGACACTTCGGATGCATATGAACATTAACTGGTCCTAAATTTTTTAACAATGTCATTTGACGATCTTTCGAATAGAGGTGGCAACTGTTAGATGTAAAAGAAATCTGGGCGTTTTATTTTGAATCGATTTCCGATTTCACTACTTTCTCCAAATTATGGGTCACTGAAGATCCTGGAATTTCGGATTGGATAATTTAATATAGAATTTTCTTAATAGTACTTCGTAAGATTATTAGATACCCCTGTTGCTTCTTTTTATCGCAGAAAAGTTCACGGTTTTAATTGCTTCGCGGTCTTTCGTCAGAAAGACTAACGCAACTTTTTCACAAGGTCTTTCAAATTTGCCTTTCGATTGCGCCAACAAGCGCACGCCTTCTGTCCGACTGACATCGAGCGATTTATGGTTTGCGTTACATACGGTTCGAGGATCCGAAGACCTCGAGCGAATCGTAAATCCGAAGAACAAAATTAACTTCTCTTCACACCTTCGAGACCTAAAGCGTAACTTTCATGGGAACCGATAAGCGTGAAGAAAGTGTAGAAAAAGCAAAGAAAAGTAGCGCGAACACAGCCTAAATCGGACCACTTTGAATTTTACCGAACAATTGTTGGTATCTGACTTTTATTAGTTGATTATGTACAAAGTCCTTTATTCGTATGAGAAGTTGACACAGTTCTTTTTAGAGAACGACCTAGTTTGAATAATACCTCGCGAGCACTTAAGACGAACCTGTCGTATCCAGTGACCGTAAACAGAGTTAGCAAAAATTACGTTAACACGGATATAGAAACCTACTCTATCGATGTCAATTACACTTGATATATTCAATAATAGTGATTATTGCGTTAGCAAAACTTCGACTAACCTTGGACTTCCAAGGAGTAATGGAGTCATCACCGAGTAATATATAGGTATAACCCCCGTATAACACGGTTAGAACCCTAAAAATTGCCGTGATGAAACGATTCTCTAACCGTGTTTGACGGAAACCGTGTTATTCGAAAGTTTCCCCAAGTGTCTAACTGAGGTACGGGGAAACCATCTTATGGAAATACCGTGTTACATGAGGATTTACTGTTTTCAATACATGAATTGCTAACTACAGAAAGGGGACATATCAAAATGTTATCATTTTCAGAAGACGAAAATTTTAACATGTCTTTTTTCCATTTTCTATTTCCAAATGCTGTAATGTCCTTGATTTCTTTCTAAGTATGTTATAACTTGATGTATATGTCTAAAATATGAAGTTATATGTAAAACAGAAATAATTAACATTTTATTTATAACAAGAATGTCGAAGAAAAGAAAATAATGGAAAGGTTCCTTCGGTGATATTTAACCTATAAGTTCACTTATAAAATACATTAAATACTCTGGTGAAAATAAGTTATTGCATAGTGCTTTTTATGCACATGTTTTTATTTTGTAAGAATAAACCAAGAACCAAAGAATCACCAAAAGCTAAAAAGAAGAATGTTATGCGTAGGTCAAGATAGAAAAGCGTATGCAATTTGCGAACTCTACAAAAAATATGTATGTGGCGAACATAAAAATGCTATTTATATATGTAATAATTGCAAATATGTAAGGAATAAGTTAACAAATGTAACTAACTTTTTATGAAATATAGTTTAATAGTTTAATAATAACAATTAATTGGAGTGTAAAGAAAAAATAGGTAAAATATCACCCGAGGGTCTT